GAGAGAGAGAAAGAGGGGGGGGGGGGACAATGTCCGAATAATGGCCTCGAATCGGAGTCGTCCGATTTTTGAAGGAGGCCGGCGTCTGACCTTTCGAAAGTGTTTTTTCTCCTCCCTCTGCGCGTGGCCCTCTCTCTTCCTCGTTCGGGTAGAGAGGAAAAAAAAGAAGATGCGATGCTCTACGTGAAAGTTGCCTCCTGGCTACTACCGAGTGCCATCACGCCGCCTCCCTACCAGCCGATCTTCCCCAACTTACCCTCCCCGACCTCTTCGCACAACCGCTCAACCTCTCACCCCGTCTTCCTCGCGAGCGTCTCCCGTCTTACAATTAGCCCTATTTCGCCCGCAAAGTTTCTCTCCGTCAATTTTCCTCAAAACGCCGGCGTTTTTTTTTCTCCCTCTCTTTAACGTATTTGACGAAGTTCGGCGGTTTCCCCTCGAATCCGGGAGAGTCACTCTCTAAAATTCAATCAGTGGATTATCACTGAGTACAGTCAATAGTCACTGATTTGCAGTTATAAGTGAGCCACTGCGATTTTCAGCGGTATACTTATAACTACAAATCAGTGGCTATTTGCTGTTTTCAGTGATAATCCACTGATTGGCTTTCACAGAGCAGGGCCTAGAGGTGAGGTAGCCGATGAAGCAGGAAACACACGAAGAAACTTAAGCAGTCAGATTTAAGAATTTCAACCAATCGGAATTTGCTCAAGTTTCAAAATGGCTGCTTACGTTCTTGACTCTCGTCGGTCATTTCCCTCAAAAGTCTTAAGGTTTACTGCTTAAGTTCTCTCGTGTGTTCCTGCCTTGACAGTCGAGAACGTAAGCTGCAGCCAACTTTGAAACTGGAGCAATGCCGAAAATTCCGATTGGTTGAAACTCTTACCGCTGCAGTTTCTCCGTGCGTTTCCAGCGCCTTTTCCGAACGCGCTGTTTCGGCGGACCGTTAACGTTTCAGAATAGCCGATGGAAACTGGCCATTACTAAAAGTTATGTCGTGCGACTGAGCCGCGGTAATACACAAATCCTCTCTTGAAATCTGCGCGACAACTAGGAGCGCTATTCTTCTATACGGGGATTCCCCTCGGTTCATTCGCACGCAGCGCAACGCGGAAAGACAAAAGCGGCGAGAATTCACGAGCCGCGCGTACAGGACGCTTGACTTATTCACATCGTGAATTCGAAGCGATTTGAATCGTCGTCCTGTTCCCATCGTTACTCGCGTCACGTGCACGTGAGAGCCGCGCGCGCGCGAGAGAGAGCAAAGAAAGAGAGAGAGAGAGAGAAAGAGAGAGAATGAGAGAGAAAGCGAGAGAGCGAGAGAGAAGGAAAGAGCACACACACAGACTGTCGCGCGAGCGCGCGGCCCGGCGAGGCTTCCCTTTCTTCCTCTTCATTCGTTTTCTCGTCTTCTCTCCCGTTAAACTCTCGTGTCAATGAGCAAAGGAGCCTCGCTTTCGCTCGCCGTCTCATCTTTCCCCCCCGGGGCAATTTCGAGCAGCGGCAACAACCAGCTGTTCGGCCGCTGTTGATGCGCGCGACGTATACACGCGCTTTTCATCACGCGTGTCTCTGCGTTTCATCTCGCGGTAAACGATAGCCGAGACGCGGCATTTTCTCCTCTCTCGGCTGTCGTCTCTCGAGCCTTTGTGAAACACCGGGACCTCAAACTCCTCCTCCTCCTCCTCCTCGTCATCTTCCATTTTTACTTCACATGTTCTTCCATTTTAAAGAACTGTAAATGAAATGTTCTATTTAGCAATGTATCAATATTAGACCAATATTCTTATTACATTGTTAAATACTGGCCAATGCACTTCCAATATAAATCTAATATTGTATAATTATTATCGTGCAATATTTACATTGGACCAATATTTAGCCAATGTTTAGCTAATGCACTGTGCTACTAAGGGTGTGTTACAACAAACGTGCCTTAAAAATATCTGTTGAGTGACGTTCGAAAGATTCGGGCGAAAGAGAACTTATAAATGCAAGCATGTCGCAACGAGTAAGTCGTCGAATTCGTATGTTACATTCAGCCGCGCGTATCGCCATGTAACTCCCAATTTTATTCCGTTACACAAAAAAGTACAAGAAAATACCACGTACATATATGGTATATCTACAGAGCACTTTATGCTTCTCTCCGGTTTCTTTCGTCGGTCGGCCTTCGCTGCCGCGACAGTTCTTAATTTCGGGATACGAGAAACTGTGCCGCCCCGATAATCGAGGCGCCAAACGCGTGTCGCACTTCGATAAGCACACGCGTGCAAATGCCGCGCGTCCCATGCGCATTGACGCCTAAGAATACGCGCGAGCATTATTCGCCCAGTCATCGTGGGAAATCCTCCTCTGCGCTACTTTGCGGATTCCATCGGAACGAGCGGCTCGCTCTCGGGGATCCCTCGAGAGCGAGAGAAAAGGGGGTGAGAGAGAGACGGAGGCGAGGGAAACGCTTCAACGAAATCTGGCGACGTTCTCGTCTCTTGATTAGCGGTTGTTTAGGAGCAGTGAAAGTTTCTCCGCGGGAGATGCGCTGCCTTTTTGGAAAGAGATAAAACGCGGCTTCCTCCCGCCTTCTCGTCTCCCCCGCCCTCCGCCCGCGCTCCTCCCCCCCCCCCTCTCTCTCTCTTTTCTCTCGGCGAGAATCGACGAGGGAATTGTTGTCGCTCATCTCGGCGGTGTTCTCATGCGGAAACGCTCTGAGAAAGGAAATCGTCGCCACGGGGAATTAATCCCATGGCCCACCTGTCCGCGAAACCGAGCTGGAGAGTTCCTCTTTTCCCCTCCTCGCTCCTGCCTAAAATGTCGGTTGATACTCTCGCGCGGCAGAATGTACGCTCGATCACGCGTGAAACGATACGCGCCGAGCGCGTAATAGCGCGATTAAAACGCCGCGCGCATCAATTGGCGTAAGATTGATCGCCCGTAAAAATGGCGTTGCGATGAGTCTCCAAAGAGAAAGAGCCGCGCGCTTTCGAGTTTTTTTTCTGTTTTCTTTCTAATTTACGCAAACTTTACCTCGCAATCCCGTTTGGGAAATTGGCGTTTGGTATCTCGACGAATCTGCCTGTGACTGCCTTCTCCTTTCGTTCGGCGCTGGAAATCCCTCGGAGGCGACTCGATATTGGAAATAAGGTGTGCAATAAGTTGGAAGGCGCGCAGACATGGTTTTATGTAAAAATACATAAAAAAGCTTTATTTCGCCACCGTTTTCTTGCAAAAAATAAGTATAAAAAACATCTCTCCTTCGCTCTAGTCGTCGTAAACATCATCATCATCATCATCGTCGTCGTCATCATCATCATCATCGTTATCGTCGTCATCATTATCGTGGTAGTCGTCGTTGTGATCGATATCATCATCATTCTCCTCATTATCGCCACCATCATCATCATCGTCGTCGTCGTGTTCAACATCGTCATCATCATCGCCGTCTTCAACCTCGTCATCGTTGTCGTCTTCTTCTCACGGCGATCGCGCGTACAACACAGCGATACGTCAATACGGCGAGTATCGTCGTCGCTGATCATGTTAGAGGTATGTGAGCGGTGTGTGCGTGTGTGTCGGTGAAGTACGGGGGAGCAGGACGGAGGGGCCGCGACGGGGGTAGCGGTGAATTGACTAGTATGGCCCGGATCCACCGGGTGCCCCATAACTCGTGCTGGGTCCGCTCGGTCCGGTGCCGCCGATGCCGGTGCCACCGCCAATGCCGCCGCCGTGACCGCCGCCAATGCCGCCGCCGATGCCGCCGCCGTGGCCGCCGCCGATGCCGCCGCCGATGCCGCCGCCGTGACCGCCGCCGATGCCGATGCCGCCGCCGCCGCCGCCACCGGTAACTTCCTTCTGCGATGCGAAAGAAAGGAAGAAAATGAAACGGTTCAACCATCGATTAAAAATTCCCCCTTTTCCTCCCCCCGAGTTGCATTGCGCTTCAAGGCCCTCCTTCCCTTACCTGCGTCTTGTACTTGATGAAGTAGACTTCCGGTTTGCTGGGCTGAGTGGGCGTGATGGTGGGCAGGTTGATCTCGGGCGCCTCCTCGGGTTTCTTGACCAAGACGTAGATGAGCGTTTTCTGCTCGTCCTGCTGCAGCGCCGGGATTACCGGGGCGGTCGGGGTCGGCGGAGTGGGCGCCTTGATGAAGATAATCTTGTAGTGCTTCTGCGCCGGTGCCGCTGGCGCGATCGGCCTGATCGGTCTATCCTCGGGCGCCTCCGGGGGCGGCACGTGGACGTAGATGTGCTTCTGGATCAGCGAGCCGCCGCCGCCGCCGCCGCCAAAACCGAATCCACCGCCGCCGCCGCCGCCACCGCCGCCGAACGCGCTGATACCGCCGATTCCGCCGATTCCGCCGACTCCGCCGCCGAGACCACCGCCGCCCCCGAACGAGCTGACACCGCCGATACCTTCGATGCCGCCGATGCCGCCGCCGAGGCCACCGCCGCCACCTCCGAATGCGATGCCGCCGCCGAGGCCGCCGCCGCCACCACCACCACCGGAGGGAGCACCGTAGCTACTGCTAGGCTGGCTGTACGAGTATCCGGCTTCCGGCCGCGCCATCGCCGTCGCGGCGAGCGCCAGGATCTACGATTGCGAATTCGACGTTACTTTCCCGGGATTTCAACGAAAGTACAGAGAATCTCGCCGCGCGTTTCATCGTGCCCCTTTCCTGGATACGTTTATCCCGGTCAGAAATGACTCGTCGATCGACGCTTCATTTCTGACTATTTGCGTATCTAATTTTTACGCACCGCACTCCGTCGTTATTCCACTTTCCTTCTGTACTCGTAATTTAGTGTAATTGTTACGCGAAAATTGTGTGCCATTGAAATTATAATGCGGCACATGAATAAGCCGAGGTCGGCTCGTTAAAGTCTCTGGATATTTCTCAAGTAGGAGAGATATTTACACCCACGAGAGAGATTTTTACTTGGTGTACAGTAATACAAACAGTTCCCACGCGTTCTTAATTGATATAACAAAATGGAGCATTTCCCCCTTTCTCTCTCTCTCTCGAAGACAATGTCAACGCTTTCATCTAATTTTTTAAGCGAACAATGATCCCTCCTCTGCTCGTACTTAAACTTTGGCGAACGAAGCCGCGAAAACGTGTCTAGAGAGTAAGCGGTAACCGTTTCAGAAGCGCTCGCGGAAGTGCGCGACGGTGGATTTACGAGCACGTGGACTCGCATCCTATTGTTTCAGCCACCGGTCGCGTCCCACGGTGCTGTTAAGTATTACGCAAACCCGGGAGAGAATCCCGACTTCTTTTCTTCCTGTTCTTCTCTTTCTCTTTTTTTTTAATCGCGCGGACGGAACTAGAGAAGTGGCACAATCACTGAACCGGTTCCCGGGTTAGTCACTATCGGGAGTACATTGACACCGCACACAATACTCCCTGTGCACCCTCCCCTCTCTCTCTCTCTTACTTTCTCCCGCGTCCTCCCGCCCGCCGCCCCCGGATGGAACCCCCGATCCCGGTTTCGATCTCGATCTCGATCGCCGAGCGTACGACCAAGTTCTCCGTTTCTCTAACGGTCTCTTATCATCCTCCCGAGAAATCTCCCGTGCGCGCGCGGGAAGAGAGTCGGAGAGGAGGATCCGAGTGAAGAAGAAAAAAAAGAAAAGAAAAAGAAACAGCGACGGGAGAAAGAACCTCGGGAGGAAGGAACGAGAAGGGGGAGAAGGGGGGAGGGGACGAGAAATCGGGAGGAGGGGAAACGAGAAATCGTCGTGGACGGGCTACTCACCACGAATGCCCTCATGGTTGCTGCTGTTCCTTGATTTGAGGACTGATGCTCCGCGGATGTCTTGTAGCCCCCTTTTATACGGGCCAGAGCTTGGGGGCCCCACTCGATGCCTCGACCCATCACCTATGAGATGCGACGGAGCTATTGCAAATCTCTCTCGCCCTCTCTCTCCCTTTCGGTACCTCGCCTCTTCTTCTGCGGGTACGGAGGCCGCGCGCTCCTCAAATTTGTCTTCTGTACTTTCGTTCAAATTCACCCAGTCTCGATCTCCGGACAGGATCGGTCGCGTCCATTACGTGACACACATGCGCCATGTGGATTCAATGACGAATGAGCGTGAGAAATGGACCGCGTGTCATCTTATATCACGAGTATGAAGAATTTATCTGGCTCGATTGTACGCGATATCGCAATAACACGGTTATTTTGCTATGTGTAAAAAAAACAGGGGTAAACGAGGTGACTTTATCACCGCTCGTCCGGCTCGCTGGACGCCCTTGTTAATTTAGACGGCTGTACGATGTTTTTGTATGCAAATTTAGATAACAAGTATTTTGCGCGTTACACATTATTCCTAATAAAGAACGATAAAATGTCACGAGAGTGCCGTAGACTTCGGGTCTGAGCAGAAAGGCTGTCTTGCACTCGTAAGAGTTTTGAGTTTAAAATCCTCGTCTTAAAGTAACGCACAATAACTGTCTTATGACTTAAGAATATAAGACGGCCAGGCTCTCGTAAGACAATGTTTTACGTTTGAAATCTTCGTCTTAAATAACGCACAATAACTATCTTATGATTTAAGAATATAAGACGGCCAGGCCCTTCGTTGACTTATGCCAGTTTCTCCCTTGGGAAACTTTACTTTAAATGAAATTAAAGTTTTTAAAAGTAATCTTTCAAATCTAAGAGTTTACTGAAAAATGTTAAAAGTTTACTTAAGAAACTTTAGAATAATTTTTAGACAGCCAAGCCTGTCAAAGTTCCCGCTAGAGGGTCGCGCGGCATAACAATTTCTCGTAAGAAAACCGCACGCGGTATTATCAATTATATCACATATCTTTGTACAATTCTTAAAGTTTTAAGTTTACCTGAAATAAAAGTTTCAAGCGGACAAATTTACTTTTCATATTTCTTATTTTTCTAAAATAAAATTTTAAGATTTTCTGAGGTATATATTTCCCCAAGGGCTACCAACGCGGAGTAATTCAAATCTCGGTTCAACTCATTTTATATTTTTTTCTTCAAAATTGGAAAAGGATAAGAAATAATTTAAGCCACGATTAAAATTAATCCGCAGTGGTAGAAACGGGCATTAATTGACTCATCGAATGTCACGTTTTATAAAGTTATTAACGGCGAACTTTTTCTAACGATATCGCGCAGTCATTACATTACAACTTTGACGAAGAAGCGCAACATCTCGCGGATACTTGAAGAAAGATTATAAACGCAGGCATTATTCCATGCGTAAATTACGCTGCGGTTTGCCATAAAAGTTTCAGTCCACTTCCTGCAGCAGCCTGCAACTTCCTATACAAGTCGACAATGTCCGCCCACGAAAACGCCGCTTTCCTTAATTCCGAATCTTCTCACGGCCAGTTAAATTGTCGATTAAACGCCGTCCAGCTCGAGCTGGAAGACGCAAATGTCGAAACGGAGAGCCGTGCGTTCAGACATTTTTATCTTATATCGCGGTTTTTTTTTCTCGTAGCACGTGTTGGGGTAAGCAGGTGACGGGTACACGCGATATAACGACACGCAACAATATGAAACGCGATATAATGCGAGCGTAGCTCTTGCGTAGGGTAGTTAAAATCGCGCCTAAGCGCAGCGAGGCGTTTCGGAAAATGAGCGAGTGAGAACCGAGGGCCAGGTCGCGAGAGGTTTGCGACTCGAAACGCGGATTTCTGGAGCGATGATGATAACTGACACCGCACGCCGGTCTGTTCAAGCCCGTGGGAAAAATTAAAATCGAGTTTTACGGCCGCGCGCGGGCTCGTTATCGCGGCGCGCGTATCGCGCGCGATTTGAAGATTTCGAAAGCGCATCTGGCCACCGGCTGCCTGTGGCACCCACGGGGCGCTCGACTGGACAAATTTCGTCCGGTTACGTTGTATTACGTCGTGTTGGCGCGCTACTTGAAAGATTTACGCAATTTTAATGCATAGACGCTACGATACGTATGAAAATCAGGCACAACGCGAAACGCGCTGTTTCGCGCAGGCTTTGAAAAACGCTGCTGTCAGTGAAGACATCAAGTCTTTCCTCGCAAACATCTATGAAGGAATTTATGATAATGTGCCCGAATTCGTTTTCTCTCATTTTCATTAATTTATCTCGTCTAATCGACGAGAATCCGCGGGCTCTGATGAATCCTCGAGGCTTCTGTTACAACGTAGAAATCTGCATAAACGTTTATCTCGTTTTTTTTCCAACTGAGATGCGGACGTTTCGCGATTGACTAAGTACTTAATTCGCGGTAACCGAATGCTTTCCGCCACTGGCGGTTGGAACAATGGAATTGGCCGCTTCCGCGATCCACCGAGAAACGGGCAGGAAGAGAAAATAACTTAAAAATTTCGATTGCAACTTCCTCGGAAATGCCTCGCGCTCATGCATACCGCATAACGACGAGAAAGGGAAAAGAGCTGGGGGAAAGGGGGGAGGGGGAGGAGGAGGAGGAGAGAGAGAGAGAGAGAAATATTGGTGAACCGAAACCCGTTTCCGCACCGATACATCGTCGCGCGATAGAAAATTAGCATAGAGGATCCTACGAGCGCGTGCCGACTCATTTTGCGATGATGCACGACGCCTCTTGCCGCAATGCAGAAAAGTAGATCACGAGCGGAACGAGTTCTCCAATTCGGGCGCAACGCGCGATCATCGGCCGACGAAAAGTCAGCCTTGCCAAGTGACGGTATGCTCCCGGGCACACGTTCGAGTCGTAAACGTTCCTCCTCCCTTCCCATCTCTCCAGTTCACATAGATGTAGACGAAGAGAGGCTACGGTTTCGATTCAAGAATGACATAATAACGAAACTGACACAGGCCTCCGCGCAGCGGATCTGCTTTTCATCTCGCGGCCTCGACGCGTAAACCGCTGTATCATTCGGCTCCTCGGCAGCTATTTCAGTCGAAAATAGAAGCGAAAATAGAAGAAACCTTCGAGAAAGTTTATTCCTATACGTTGTGGAATTGCGCGATTTTATCTCGTTCGTGTTACCGGTTAATAAACGTTAGAATTAATTATGTCCACAGTTCGCTTATACAACGAATTGATACAAGTAAAGAACTGAGCGGGAGAAGCGAAGGAAAAACGTCAACCTAAAGTAATGATCGAGCGGGAGAGATTTCGGCCGCAGAAGGCACACTCGCTACGCAAATTTCTCTCGGGGAATCCTTCTTACAGTGTAAGCGGAATGACAGATTGCGGTAAAAGCAGATATTTCTTTCGTCTGATAGATGAATGTTTCGGGGAAGCCAGAACCCACACTGGGCTGGTGACAAGTTGGTCACAATATTACCGCCGGCCTTCATTGCGAAACTGAAAGTCTTCTTGCTGGCCGCAAAGAAGCTTTTGCGTCGCGAGAGAAAGAGAATGAAAGGGACCTCGAAATCCATTTGACCCGAATATTCGATCCGACGTACACGCGGCTTCTCGTTTTCTTCTCCGTTTCCCGCTCGAGGAGGAATTAATACTTTCCCGACGAGGGAAGCGGCTGCGGCGCGGCGGGAATCCTCCTTCCTTTGTCGCGTTCTCTCCTCCTTTCCATCGCCCGAGCGAATTCAACGGATCTAGATCCTTATCGATCGCACGGGATCCTCCGATCGGCGGGCGGCCATTGAGGACGAGGACGAAGCACGCAAGAGAGAGTCGCGCCGACGGCACGGCTCACCGTGTACCGCGATCCCCCTTCGGTGAGAAGAGAACCGCAGCCGATGTAAATTGCTTACAGAATTTGGTTGCCCGACGGCACATTTTTCTTTCCTTTTTATCAGAGACTGGCATTCGCTCCGGTCACGTGTCTCGAGAGCCTGACGAAAGAACAAGTTGAACAGATTAATAATAAGGAACTCAACTCGCTCTGTTTATCGCCGAGTTAAACTGTCGCAGGGTTGTTCGCCAAATGCAACTGGTTCCTTAATTAAAGGACGCTCTTAAAAGAAAACAGAAGTACAAACAATTCCGTTTCGCACGCGTTACCGTCGCGCAAATTGCCGCGATGTATACAGAAATTCGTCGCGATAAACGATGCCTCGCCGCCCGGAGAACGTCTCGACTTTTTCAGCAAAGCGTCGCGGCGCGTCATGTAAACGTAACGTAATTTGCGTCACGTACATTACGGGCAGATTAGACGTCACGCTCGCCGCGAATGTGGAATACCGTGAATAGTGCCACCTTTTCCGCGACCGTTGTGCAACACGTGTGTGTGCACGTAACGCAACTTTGTGCTAGCCATTATGCGTAAGTATCTTACAATATAATGATAATGATAGGATACGTCCTCGTAAATTTTACGCTCCCTCGGGGCAAGACGCCGGACCGACGGAGTCGCGTACACCTACGAGGCGGTGAAATCCTCCGAGATCCTCCTGAGATATCGCGGGGATGCGGGGAGGCGAATAGCGGCGTCGCGCGCGCAGAGGAGTCGACTTTGCGTAACGATTCTGCGATCTACTTCGAAATATGAATGCCGCGCGTAATGGACCATCGGCAAAGTGCCGATAGTTTCCCCATCGGGAGCGCCGGACAATCGGCGGGGAGAATTTCTTTCTTTTTTCTTTTTTTGCCTTCCCTCGCGCGCCGCGTCCGCGGGGTATAAATTAACGTTGCGCAATATTCGTTGCGAGAAGCCACAAGAAACCGTACCGTAAGAGAGGCTCGTTAAGAAGGCGAAGGCGAAATAGGAACTCGCTCGATCTGGCCGCGATACCAACCGGGACTGCGCAGGTGCCCGCTGGGCGAAATGCAGCGAGAGACCGCCGCCCTCGGGGTCGAAAACGGTAACGTGACACTCGTGGGTGAGCGAGTTACATGCAAGTAACGCCTCGCGAACGATTCAATTCGTGATCCCTCGCGGGAATGTAATTCTAAGAAACAAGGACTGGCATAATTTCTGGAAAATTACTGTACATCAGCGATCTCTAATGATTCAATTACCGAGCGTCTAGTAGTTCTGTCAGTGCTTTTTCGGTTCCCAGTATTACATTTCTGTAAGGGACGGGGATATTCCGATCCCGAACATTCCCTCGCAGCCGCTTTCCCACCCTGCTGGATCGTCTCTCAACGCGAGTGCAGGCGTACGCAGACTTTTTGCTCTATTGTTTAAGTTACTAGAGCATCCATTGCTACTGTACAGTAAACAACTTTTATACAATGAAAAACCAGGCGTTGGACTCGTGTCCACTTCTATCAATGTAGTCTAATCTCGGTTTACTTTACTTTCCATCTCTTTCCATTTCTTACAAGTAGAAAAAGATGACAAGAAAGTTAAACCGAGATTAAAGTTAATCCGCATTGATAGAAATGGACATCGGTACAGCATAATGAGGCCTAACAATTTTGTCTAAGGCTGTATATTTATTTTTGGTAATTCTAACTTAACTTCGTTACTTTCTCTCCATCTGTAACTTAACTCAGTTACATGAATAGTTACTTTATACAATTTGAACATCCACCTTTATCGACGCCTTTATCGACGTTTTACAATTGAAATGCAGAGCTGATGTTTTTATTTTCATCGCAAGAAAGCAACGGCGAAGTAACGATTCGTTACTTTTCGGGTAACTGTAACACGTTACTTTCCAGAATTGGTAACTTGTGACTATAACTAGTTGCACTTTTAGCGAAAAAACTGCAACTAGATACTCTTATATATAAAGTGACTTTCCCAACCCTGCATATATACATCGGGACGTGCGAAGTGCTTTATATACGCGCGCCGCGCGTGGGCTAGATGCTTCTCGAGGACGATGAGAACAAACCTCTTCTATTCGCTGACCCGGGAAGGAAGACCTTTCTACCTTCGAGCGCTGTGGCAGATCTCGGGACGTCCGGTTGAATCGCACGGGATCGAGATACGATTTTCCCGTTCACCTCGGGCCTTACGCGGCTTAATTACATGCCCCTTCGCTCTTATTGCTCTCGGCTACGTTAACCGCTCGGTAAGAGCATCGCGCGCGGCGAGGACGCCCGTTCTTCGTCCGCTCTTCTCCAATATCGCCTCCTCATGTGTCGTATCTTTCACCATACGAATGCTGGCCCAAATTGGTCGTACTCATTCCTGTCGATCACGAGGACACTTCAATTAGATCATGCAATATGTCGGGAGGGAGTAAATCAAAAGTACATCAAGAATAAACGAAATTAAGAAGGGGAGCTTGCGTTGTTGAAATCAACCGATTGGAAGAAAGTAAAAATCAGTAAATATAATTAAGTTAAAAAAATATAATAGAATAAAAATGATCAAAGCAAAATGTATGGAGTAAACTGTAATGAGCTCAGATCGGATATTGAATTATAATTTTAAATTACGCAGGGGGGATATAACTTATCGTTAGCGTTATGCTGTAAGCCGTGGGATTAAACGCGACACGATCGCCGATACTGACACGGCGCGTATTCATAAGGCATCGTTAAAGTCTCCCCTTTCGTGTTGTCCGTATCGATCCATTCGATTTGTCGGTCCTGGCGTCATATTTCCGCGGGGATAATCGTGTTATAATTGTAATGCCACGAGAAGCGCGCTACGCAGGCCAGACTTGCCCGAGTGCCAAGTTATCCTTATCTAACACTTTCTCTCCTTTCCAATACTGTCGTCGTCGTCGTCGTCGTCTCCGAGCGCTCATCTCGTGCCGGGTTTATTAATCGCCTTTGCGAATTTTCGGTTAAACCAACACTGTCCAGTTGTGTAATGCGCGCCACGCATCTCTCCGAGTCTATAATCGCGTGATTCCTTATTTATTGCTGCGCTATATTAAAGAACTCTACATAAGAGATATTTTTATGATTCTTTCTCTCTTTCTCCCCCTCTCATTCTTTCTGTATGGTATCTTGCGAAATGTTTACACTGGAAAAAGATACGGAGAGAGAGAGAGAGAGAGAGAGAGAGAGAGAGAGAGAGCTGTTTACAGAAATTATTACAAATTGATTTACGTGCAGAAATTATATATAATATTGCGTCATCAAGCTACGATACTCGTTCGCTTAAGTGCGAGAGGTCTAAAATACTGATCTATAGATCTGTAGATAACTGCCAGGGATAATGTTAACTGCGCCGAGTTTCTCCCGAGGTACGCTCGATATCGCCCGTTCTCTAAAAAGCCTTTGCAAGCTCGGAGAAACGGAAACATCTCGGGTCTCACCTTACCGGGAACTCGATAACGGTGGCTCCGGGGGCTCACCGTGTTACTCTCGATTAATCGGCGCAATCATCGCGTAATTCTCACGTCTGCTGATGTAATCTGGAACTGTCTGGAACGACCGAATGGAATGCGATTCGTCCTTTAATGGGCGGAGTAATTGCTGCGCCGGGTTCTCGCTCGATATTTATCATCGCCCACGTCATAATTGCCTTCAAGTAGCAGTTAACTCCTTCGCTCTTCCATTTTTACTGTGCTGTCAAATATACAGTTGTGTAAGAGATTCAAGTGTACGATAAATTCCATGTGGTACTCGTTGTGTACAAGAACGATATTTGTTAGGCATCACGAAATTTAGATATTTCATTTTATCTCTCCTATATTCCCTAAATTTCTTCTCTTCAATTATATTATAAATTACAGCAAAATTGAGAGAGAATTATTCTTAATCTCCATACGTGATCTCGTGCCCAAAAACTTCTATCAATTGTATACCTGAGTTTAGAACTAAACTGACTTTACGAACAATTGATAACAATGGGGATTCTCTATCAGGATACTTGCCGATCCTCCAAATCGGATAAGAAAATCTTTCGAAATTTTTATAATGCAAGAATAATGGTCCTGCGCGACAAGCCGTGCATGTTAATTTATTTGACGCGAGAAAATGAAGCTCGCTCGCTCATAAATCCAATAGCAAGGTTTATCAATCGGATAGACCGTACGTGGGGTATCGTGAGAAACTGTGTGTTGTATAATAGAGCTGCACCGCGATCCACCGCCAACAGACGGATATAAACCGTGGGCCGAAGCGGCGGCGGGGCGTTATATACTTTCCAGGAAGTATCCGAGGCGGAAGGGGTACGTGGTCACCGGGGTCAGGAAAATCGATACGTTCGCAAGAAGCTGCATCACGATTCTGCATCTTCGTTCGGGATAACCGGCACCGGCGCAGGCCGCGCGATTTCTTCCGGTAAGAAATATCTCTCCCGATTCATCACCTGGCGAGTTAGGCCTCTGTTTGCGCCAAGCTCAAGTTTCCGGCACGAAGTATAATTTCTTGTTTTTGTGGGAGGGGAGGGTGGAACAATTATGTAATGTACTAATGATATTTCGTAGTATATTCTCTCAACGGCCAGCGGGTCCTCTTATCCAACGCGTAAATAATTTATAAGGGGATACTCTCGAATGCGCGCTGAAGAAATACGAATCTCGAAAAGCGCGAGCTCATGCTGACGGAGTTGGAAGAGCGGCTGCAGCCGTAAACTCCCACGCCGGCAAAGTTGGAGAACCGCGGGTCTAAGAGAACAAAAAAAAAATAATAAAGGGAAGACTCTTCCGCGGAGAAAAGGGGAAGAGGCGGAGGTGACATAATGTATTGTGAACGGCGATCGAAGCGAAATCGCTGGCGCCAGCAGCACCGGGAAGTGAGGAGAAGATGCGTCAATAATAGACAAACGGCGGAGCACTGAAAAGCTGTGGGAGCGCGGTGCCAAGCATCATCGGCGCGGCGGTGGTAGGAATGTTTCTATGGCCGAAGAAAGTTAAGAATTTTCACCTCCTAGAGAAAGCACACCGCATGACGCATGTAGATATTACGCCACGTAGAATGAATCTCCCCCCTTGCCTCGACGGCCTTCGATCCTCATAGTCTTCGCTGTCGTCGGCACAATACACTCTTCTCGCACTGGGTCGTCTCCTATCGTCGCGTTGAAACTTCCTCCTTACCGTCTTCCATTTTCTACCCCTTTTGTATAATAACTTTAATGCATGTAAGACTGGTTTACGATAATTAAGCTCGAATTAAAAAAAATATAGGCAAGATGCTAGTAAAGCTACTGCTAGGACGCCTTCCTGTAATAAAATGAGATGATGAAGAGCGCAAGATAAATAAATCGTAAAACGAAAATGCGTGAACAGAATAAAAAAATTAACAGTTCGTAAAACAGAAGGTAGAAACATTAAGTAGAACCCAAATAAAAATAGATGTACAATATTGAATTCGTTAAAAAACCTCCCTTATCCTCTTTCTCTCACCTGTCGATCCTATTTTTCGTTCTCGAGCCTTTGCTCAAACAGTTTCCTACGGAAACCGATGGCATCCCTGATGCGCTATGTAAATTCAAGATTATATGTTTTCCCGAAGAAAGCGTCCGTCTCTCTCGTAGCTCTTCATCCAATCAAAATTCCAATACGTATACGTTTCACGGCTCAGCAGTGCGCGCGGAGAAGATAGTTGCAATTCGCTCTTACAACTCTAATATAATTTGTAATTAAGTCAGTTGATTGATATAATTTATACTTGAAAAATTCGTGACTCAAATAACATTTTCATTTTCTGTGCCTGACTCGGTTGTGAGGAGGCGTAAATAAACAAGCTTCGAAAAACTGTAGAACTTTTTTAAAACGAATAAACGACACTAATTAAACAGATTAAGTAATCTCGGGAGTTCTTAAAATAAATCGTTTCCGTCTGCGCGTGTTTAAGCCAACTTTCAGCACTTTGCCCGCACCTCTTTGCGTCCACCAGATCCACCAGAAATTACGAAAGAGCGATCTGCGGAAGCGACCCGTGCAGAAATGCGTAGTAGCGTAAATCGCGATAGGCACCGTCGGTCGCATCACCTTATGTTCGAGGCACCCAAGAGTCGCACGGCTCTTACGCAATACGGTGGATTGCAGGCGTAAAGCGATTACGTAGTAAGCAAGCAAATTTCACACTCGGACAGGTGGCCGAAATGTACAATAGCACGGAGAGAAATGGGTTCCTAACTGGTACTTGTGCGATACCGCGTAAATATCGCAGAGAAATTACACGCGGCCGTAGAAAATAACTGCCGATAGAAGTTGACTGACGAGGCATATCGTATGTACACTGCAATCCAAACGACGGTACAGCAATGACGAAATTGTAACCATAATCGCGAAATGTATATTTATGCAACACGATCGTGTACTTAACGGGGACGGTACGCAATTTTGCTGAAAGAAATAAACACTAATTAATAAAAGTAATGAACGATTAAAGGGAAATAAATAACAATTTTTATTATATTTTATCTGTACTTCGATATTGCCGTAATTGCTACGATTGTCGCCGTTTGACAATGCCGCAATTGTAAGGTTTGTGTCCCCCTAAAAAATTACCATCTCCTTGTTCCGTTACGAGACAGCTTAAAGCTTGAATCCTGAGTGAATAGCGACCATACCAAACGTAAGATTTTGATACGTCACATTTCTGAATCCTGCGAATTCGATCATGTCCTAAACATATCACAAACATCATGAGAAGTGTACGACTGGAAACAACATTAGCAAAGTTTTATTAGCAAATGTAACGTAACGAAAAGGAGAGATTAACGACAACTGAACTAAAATTTAATATTAAAGATTCTAAACAATTGCCCACTACAACTCGTTGCAGTTTTGTATACGAGAAACAGACAGAAAGTATTCTTCACCTTAAAATCCTCTTGTTTCGGAAATTTTCTTATGCTCTCTACAAGGTATTGATAAGCTTTCCACTGCCCTACGATCAATTGTCCCATCACGGGTATTATTTGAAAGGAATATTGATCGTACAACCTGAAACAGATGTCGAGCAAAATTTCTCTACAGATTGGTTCATGTATATTGACTTTCTTATTTTACTTTGAGATGTACATACCATTGTAAAGGTTTATTCTCGACATGACTGAATTCTAGGCATAAAAATCTCCCTCCTGGCTGCAATACTCTGTACGCCTCGGACAACACCTGCGACACAAAAGTTAACACACATTAGATCTAAACATTCCTTAACATTCAGATACTGCTTACGACTTGGCTTAAAATGTAGTGGGTATTCTTTGAAGATTATCAAACGTAAATTCCATATAATGCAACTTGTTAGGACATTTTATACGAATAACTGATCGAATTGATAAACTCAATGTGCTACAAGCACCTTGTCAATGCGCGTCACATTCCTTACGCCGAACGCTATGGTGTAAGCGGAGAAAGAATCGTCCGGGAGGGAGAGCTTCTCCGCATCCTCCTGCCTCCACGCGATATCGCAATTACTATTCCCTGATAAATCCAGGCTGCCTGCCCGCTTTCTCCCGACGTCCAGCATGTGCTGATTGATGTCGCACACGGTTACGTGGCTGCGCACATTGCGCGGATTCGGCGTGTTCCTCAGATAATTAATGTACCGAAACGTGATGTCGCCCGTGCCACCGGCGGAGTCCAAGAGCCGGGTGCCGTGAGTGGGCCCTAGTTCTTGCACGAAGATGTCTTTCCAGATGCGATGGATGCCCATGCTCATCGCGTCGTTCATCAGGTCGTAGGAATTGGCCACGTTTTCGAACACGTTGTACACTGCAAGAAAAATTGCCGAATTAAGTGGCATTGTACAACGCATCCGCTACTCCTCCGCGAGCGGCAAACGCTTCGTCCGCTTGGCATCTACCGCGCAAGGAACAAGATACAGCGAGAGACCAAGGGACGCGGACAGGAATGAACGGAATCCTCACCTGCCTGCGTCTTCTCGCTCTCCTTGACAGTCTGAAAGCCGAAGTGCGTCGACTTCTCGTCATCCTCCGACGGTGCGCCGGCTACTCTGGAATAGCCGCGTTTAGCTGCTGCGGCGGCTTTCAGACCTAACCTGTCCAGCGTCCGGCTTTCTCTAAGGACGGTCGCGCAAAGATTCCTGTAGGCCATCGCACCACACGTGCACCTGTACACAAACCGAAAAAGAAGACGATCAGGTAAACAGCTGGCAGGTGACACTCGGCTGTCTGCTCTCACCTGCACTTGCCTGCACTTCCCGCGCTCGGGATCGTCCCTCCCTTTTCCTACGACGCCGCGACCCGTATATCCATCTCGTTCACGCGCGCGGACGGCGCATCGCGAGACGCGAGTACAACGAACGGGTCCAGCGGTCGACACGAAAGAATTCGAAGCTTCGAAGTTGACTTCGAACTTCGAACTCTGAAGCTTCGGATATTTCAAAGTTAATTTCGAAGATTCGAACTTCGAAGATTTGAACTTTGAAGATTCGAAGCTTCGAAGATTCGACGTTAACTTCGAAGCTTTGAAGATTCGAAGATTTCGAAGTAACTTCGAAGCTTCGAAGATTTCAAATTCGAAGTCAACTTCGAAGCTTCGAAAGTTCGAATGTCGAAGCCTCCGAAGGAAATCGCCAGTCCTAATAGCGATAGCTTTTCACCGCTGATTAGAATTGCGCTGGAGTGTCGGTAATACGCCGGCTTCTCTTCGTTCTATGAAATGGCACCTTTAAAAGAGGCCACGAATGGAAGAAACAGCGGATAGACCCGCGTCAATTGGCTGTCGAGTTTTCTTCCGACGGCCGATCCGCCAATTGCGTCGGTGCAGGCTGTCGCGGAGCAGCGGGCCGATTCGTCGCCGCCGGCCCGGACGGCGGTCGCGCGAGCTAGATCGCCGAGCGGCGCGATTCAAACGCGATTGCCGGACGCGGTTAATCAGGGGCCGACAATTAACGCGGCTCTCCGTCCCGCCGGACGTCCGCAGGGGCGTCTCTTGTCCAGTCGCCGGGCGGGGCGCGCGTTCCCGGCTGCCTTTAGGAATGCCGCGGCGAGTATCGATATTTTGCGGCGGCGACGCCGCTTCTGCGCCGTACCGCCGATTCCCTATGTGGCGAGAAACGCTGCCTCGGGATTATGGTGCGGGTGGATGGTTCGTCGATTCAAATCTGCAATTACAACACGCCCGAGTCAACACGTGTTTCTAGCGCTCGCCAAGTGGCTTCTCGCGTCGCTCCCGCGTGTACGACCGAAGCGAGAGATCGGGCCATCGTCCACGTATTACGCGCCTCCTAAGTGTGAAACCTGCACGTGAGATATTCGAAGACTTGCTAAGAGATCCTGTACGATTGCGATGCAATTTTTCCATCGCGACGCCCACCGCTTCACGGCAGACTTTGTACACTTGTCGTCACACCCGCGTGCGACTTTGAGGCATAATCGCGGACCGATTATGTTCTTGTTTAAGATCGTAGGCCGCTTATTTACGTCATCTTACTTGTAACCTTATTTCAAGAAGCACACGATTGCATCGCGGTGCAGCTTCGTTGACGAGATTCACCCTGCGCTCCTTTAACTGGGCTTGTCTCTTTCAGATTCTAAAGGCAAGAATCCCCCCCCCCGTTTGACAGTAAAATAGCAAGTATTTTAAACAACTGCCGGCTATTCAAGAAATGCTGTTAACGTTTCTTTATATGATAGCCACCATCATGCAAGCACGGAGGTTAGCATTTGTAAAAACATTCCTAGACTGCGCCCTCAGGAAGAGGAAACGTCCGTCTATCGTGCTCAGGGTTGCGCCATCTCAACATGTGGACAAGAAAAGTAATCTTATATATTCGTACACATGTGCCAGATTTTATCGTACGCTAGGGACCACCAATGCCTTCCCACATATCAACACAGTTTTACACTTTGCATATACATACGTGGAAAGTGTGTATGTGTTCCACTTAAATTCATATGGCGTCAGCGATTCCTAGTGTACGTGTAACGAATGACATTAGTTTCGCTCTGCGTACACACATGTAATCTGTAATGTGGTTTGTCAACACCATAGGAATTTTTATCGTCAGAAAATTGTATTTCGTAGCCACATTCTTGTACGCATTGAGAATTTTTAAGTCGTACTTATTAAAGGAAGCATTGTATTAAATAGATATGCACTGAAAATGTTATATCCGTTAGATATATCTTGTATAATAATTTTAAGATTGCAGTGGAAGATACGAGGAGGAAAAATCTCTGAGTTCTCACTTGTGCACCAACGATCGTCAAGCGAGACTCGATCAGTTCTTCTGGAGTCAAGAAAATGCTAAGTTATACACGATGTATCCTCAAGTATGTGCAATGTGGCAGATATCATTTTACTTACATTTGGCGATGCGGTGCGCAAACACGGAACTGACAAGTGTCCATTTTATTAGCAAAAAGTGGACCTGTACGACTGGCTGATCTATCCGTATGAAAATTCGTTTCCCCTGTACACAAATAATTGCCGTCAGACTTTTAACGAATCTGACCTGCACGTTCTTGTGGAAGTCGATATTGAAAGTTACGGATCTAAGGCCTCGACGACTGCCGCAAAAGTACAATGTTCAAGTCTTAAATTATTTATGTTATTTTACATTCTGCATGTACGATTATGTAAGCCTTGAGAACTGTATTATTACTTTTTGGGCGAGCCGAGCCCAAGATTTTATCGCGTTCTATTTACACGCGTTATTTTTACAGCTCGAGGATTACGGTCTAATCATGGCGTGGACGATATTGAGTAAAAGTATGGGCTTCATCGTAAAAACTGATCTAGATCATATTGTGGGCTTCATGAGCGCGATCATACAGGGACAACATTTCATTAACAACGGCTTATTTGTAACGCGTGTTCAATGTATGTCGTTACTCTCGCATCTCGAATCTTAACACTTGGAAAACCTGGCACTTGTTTCATTTGGCTTAATTTTTTCAGCTGTTTTGGTATCGGGAAAGCCGATATTTACAATGGATCTTTACAGTGACACTGGACACCTCGGTCCACCGCCAGACAAAAGCAAGTTACAATAATTTAATTTAATTTATCGCGACATATCTTTTACCGTGTAATGCTTGTATCACTACTTTTTATAGATAGTTTCTATGCATTATGCGATGCGGTCCAAGCAAGAGCTCCCCAACAAAAGCCTAAAAAAGGTGCTAGAGTACGCGGGATGAGTACGCAGTCGCAAGATAACACCGAATTTATAGACCAATTCCTTGAGGAAGCTGTGAAAGACATGGGTATATCGGAAGAACATTGTGATGTTGCGCAGCATTAATCTAACTGCCGGCAAATTTCATAAGCGTATTTTTCTTTTTACTTTCTTTCAGGTGCTAAATCTAATTCTGCGCCGGCAACATGCGCTTCGTCACCAACCAAACAGCATGTAGAGTTAGCAAAAAAGCCGCACGATTCAAACCATACACCAGGTGATGCGCTTTCAACTGTTCCTCACGGTACATCTCACATGGACGTCCATTTACCCGACGTCACGGAGAAACTAGACAATACTAGCGAAGAAGAATCTAAAAATGTTGACCAAAGCAAGTCTACCAGAGAAACTGATTCCAAGTTAGTCTATAATATATCGAAACATTAAAATATATATAGGCGACATTTGACGATCATTCATGTTATGAACAATAATAAAAGAAAACAATTTTTATGAATCATTAATTTACAGAAATTTTGGATTGGAAAAGACGGTAAACCTTAGTAAGATGGTTAAACCACCAAATGTACTCATCTGTGCGGATAGCGTAACCGCGACCGACAATTTGCAGAATTTATTATTAAAAGTGTTGGACGAAGACAGGCATGTTATCGACAGTTTTATATTATATGAGAATCTATAAATTTTAACAAGTTGTTAAAACGCAGTGGGTTTTAATAACTTACTTCTGCAGTTAATTCAGTATCTACTTCAATAATCGTTAGTTATAAAAGGTCGATACATCTTTTCTAGATACGACACCCATATATTTCAAAAACGGGACCTCGATAGTTGCAAGGTTTGGATAGATGATGTTTCATTAGTTGTTCTTTGCGGTAATGTTGGTGCGGAGCTCAGTGCCCATCTTGTAGAATACATTATACACGGAGGTAAAGTCCTAGCGCTATGCTCCGACATGCTGCACATTTTGCTACCATCGTTCAAGACCGCGGAAGTGCGTGAAAACGAGCTCGTCCACTTTTCGTACGGCAAGTGGAAACGAGTGCGTATGATGCATCACATATTTTGCTACCACGCATCTCCCATACGAACTCGTTTTTCTCAAGATCACGAAGATGCTAGGTAATATCTTCTTTGTATTAATAGAATAAAATATTGTAATTATATCGCAGGGAGAATAGAAGAATAACAGTTGTGGAAAAAGAACATAATTATCAAATATATTATCTTTGTAGGGCGCCTGCGCTGAATCCTCCGACGTCGACTAGCGTTAAGGACAAAAAGGGAAATTTACATTCGTTCGACGTGAAAGTATTGGGCAGAGAAGAGACGTGGCAGAGCCCAAGCATATTGCTCGCAACTTTACCTAGTAGTGGTGGTAAAGTGGTGTTCTCTCAAATCCATTTGGAGATAGATCCAATGCAGTATGTATACGAGGGGGATAAATATGACGTGCTGAAGAAGAGTAACGTTGCACGTTTGGAAATAATCAGTGATCTACTTAGCACGCATTTAGGACTATATGTAAATCGTGATACATGCAAAGAAACGTCTGTCCGGTACACTCCGGGTTACTTTTTAGGCAAATTCGAGGTACACAAATATACCTAAGAATGAACAATCCTAATAATAATAACAATGTACAATATATCGTTATACATGAATGTAGATGAAGATGAAGATGCTTGAAAAGTTAAAGGATAAAATGGATAAAAACGTATTAAAAATGTCAGAAATGCAAATTCAATTTTGCACGAGCAAGGAGGATGTGCATTCACCATCATCTGTTTTTTTGCCTATTATGATGCATATGTGCCCGCCTAATTTCTCGACTGTAGTTTATTTTGATGTAAGTTTCTCCTTTACATTTCGATCGTTATGCCACTCTTCTAATACCTATCCTAAATTCTAAATGTATTACCAATAATCATGTCTATATGATCGACGCGTACTTGGAGATTAATCATTTTATACGCCACATGTAACTTGGGCGTATAGCTAAATGAGCCTAGAAAAAAACAGTTTATTGCATTCAAAATTTATTTCCAGAATCTCTATACAAAAGATCTGGGACGCTTAGTAATATATGTGGATGTCTTAACGTCATCTATGAATGTGATCCAAACCCCATTGGAACATGGACTCACAGTTATTCCACGACAACAAGTAAAAGGACGAGGTATTACTTTTCATATGAGGATATAATACATATATTGATAGTTTATTACTTTTCACTTTCGATTATATGCAGAGATAATATAATGACTGCGTTACTTCCAGGGCGATATTCTAATAAATGGCTCGGTCCAATAGGTTGTGCTATGTTTACTCTACAAGTACATATTAATATAATATCGAATATCGGCCGTTATATCTCAATTCTTCAACATATTGCTGCTGTAGCACTTGTGTCGGCTGTAAGATCTATTAAAGGATATGAGGTATTTTCACGTTTTCCTGTTGGGAACTGCATAATCTTTTAATACCTATATACATTTTGACTCTTCATATAATACAATTTATTGTAAATTAATGACTAATAATTAATTTATCTTAGGATATTGATCTCAGAATAAAGTGGCCTAACGACGTATACATTGGTAGTTCGTTCAAGATTGGTGGCATAATCGTTTCTACACTGGTGGATGGCGGTGGATCAACGTACTTTTGCAATATCGGTGCGTGACAATAGTCACATATAAAATGGAAATTTTATGGTAAACTTATCGTAATTTAATCCACGAATTAAAATGAATGTAAATACATGTTTCAGGTGCTGGTATAAATCTTTCCAATAGTAAACCCACAACTTGCATTAATGATGCGATTCTGCAATATAATCAAAAATATGGTACAAAGTTAGAAACGTTCTCTTACGAAAAGTACTTGGCGTTGGTATTCAATGAAATGGAAAATTTATTAGATATTCTCCAAAGCGGCAACACAGATCACTTCTACCAACTTTACTACAAATATTGGTTGCACATGTAAATAGCCATATTTTAAATCATTATTAATGTTCATGTAGTAATATTTTTACAGTATCCACACACACACACATACATATATATATATATATATACCTTTTTATTTTAGGAATTCAAATGTTACGGTAACGTTTTTTAATGGAAGAAGAGAAGAAGTTATAGTACGAGGTATCGATAATTACGGATACTTGTTAGTGCAAGGACAAAAGGGCATGTTTTCTGTACATTCAGACGAAAATAGTTTCGATGTTCTCAAGGGGCTGATAGTACCAAAAAAACAAAAATAAAGAATTGAATATTCGTTAATTGTTATTGAGAATTATATCTACATGTTGAAATATATAATAAATATGTGTACATATAGCATAGAGTTTTGTATATATTATATTGGTACACACGCATCACATACTACATACATATGTTTTACATATGTACATGTATAATTTAAAGATCTGCATATATGTATGTATGTATATGGAAGTGTATGTACAACACATTCATAATATATGTGTGTGTGTGTGTGTGTGTGTGTATATGTAATGCATAATACAAAATTATATACACACGCATACATACATGTATATATACATATATATCTGTTCATTATGTTGTTAAGAAATACATCGTTATGTTTGGAGACTTTAGAGAAATAATTTTCTTTATCTTACATACAATTTGATTATTTTATCTCCGATACTGTATATGCTTTACACGCGCATCTATATACGCGAAATAAAGTAATTGTACTGCATATGTAAAAAAAATTTTAATATTTTAATTTAATATATATTATTTTTAATTTCATTGGTTACTGAAATTACTTCCAAATGATACAAATATATATGAAAACATTTATGTATTTCATAAAAGTTGGAATGGCGGATTTATATTTTATAGCTAACATAATGGATAAAATATGTTAAACATAAAAAAAATTTTAATTTTTAATTAATAACGTTCTCAGAAACTGCGGAGACACGAATCTAATTTAAAAATAAATTTATAAAAAGATGTACGAGATAAAATAATAGCAAATAAATGAAGTCAATCGTGCATTTCAGAATCATGAAATCGGTATACGGGATAAAAATCATTTAGGATAATGGGAAGATATATATTGTTAAACAATATATACCTATCATTAACTTAATATAAGAAGTATCATATACAACGTGTATTTATGCAATTACAATGCCATTCAAAAAATTGTATAACAATATTCACATTACTGCCAATAATGAGTCAAATTGACAATTCGTGATATAAATAATTCACTATATACATTTCTTTTATAAATTGCATGATAAATCATTTGCATCCCGAATTATCATTTTGATTCAGTACTGATTGCAATGTGAAAAACATAATCCTGGTCGAAGTTTGGACCAGATATGATAAAATATGGTAAAGACAAAATTTTTTTCCTATTTCTCATTCAATAAAGATGAGTTCAATGATCTAAACCTATTGCACGCTTGCTTCTATCTAGTTACATACAGTGTTATAATAATTTAAGTGTGCAGATAGATTGACGGAGTAGATAAAATACATTTTAATTAAATTCATATAAATTATCTCTGTGTATATATGTATACATATACGAAACATATATATGTTACATATATGTGTACATATATATGTTTTTCATTTTATTATCTAATGTATCGAATTCATAATCTCAAGTTGGCTACCTGCAGCAGTAATGTTTAATTAAATAAAACGGAATTTGGATCCTCATTGTCGAGCTGCTTTACATGCCTCAGAACATCTTTCTTTGTAATTACACCTAGTAGTCGCCTGCACGAGAAACCTCGATATTAGTTAAATTAAAAAACCATGGTAATATAAATGAGTCACATACGTACCCGTTGTGTGTAACTAGAGTTTGACGTAATCCCAATTTTCGGAACATGTCAACCACAGTTTCCATGGGAGTTTGGTCGGTGATAGTGATGGGGGCCATATCCAATATCTTTTTCAACTTCAAGGGCGGTGGGGAATGACTTTGGATATTGTTTCCGTTAGTAAAGACAACTAACGATTGCCTGCTAATATCCTCGATCATTCTCTTGGCATTGGCAATGGCGAGATTGAGGTCCCGTCGTAAAACAAAACCAACGAGATATTGAGATTCTTTAGAGACTATTACAGGAAAGCCATTATGCTCCGTTTCTTTAAGCAAGTTCTCTACATCTTCTACTGTCATTGAATCTTGAGTAAGAACGTGAAGAGCTTCGTTTCGCCTGAAAATTAACAAAAATATGTATATACATGCGTGCGTGTACACAATCTTAAAATATACAAAAACATTTACGGATGTATCGTTTCGCTTACTTGGGTTGCATAACATCCGCTGCCAGAGTTGTATGTTGAAACTCATCTTTGCTGTCCAGAAATGGATATCCATTCAAGCCGATATGAGCATCGTAGATACCTTGTTTTCCGAGAGCATCGCCGACCCATTTACTCGCCATGGCTGCAGCCATTAAAGGTACAATATACCGCACGCCGCCCGTTAATTCAAACATTATGACGACTAACGAGACCGTCATTCTGGTTACACCCCCAAGAACAGCAGCAGCCCCGACCATCGCATATAATCCAGGTGTTATACAATCAACACCCATGGAACACTCCTCGCTGAACATCCATATATGAGGATAATTATAAGCAAGTTGCTCCATTCCTATTCCCACGATACGGCCTATTATCGCTCCCAAACAGAGGGAAGGAATAAACAAACCGCACGGGACTTTCATGCCAAATGTAAATATTGTCATAATAAGTTTTAGTATCAGCGCCAGCACAAGTAGCCATATAGCTTTGTAGACTCCTGGGCCAGCTGCGGCAATTTCGATCGCAGATTTCACAGCGGTGAAGTTTCTATTGTAATCACTGTTGAACAGAGAATTTCTCAAATAATTTTAATACAGCCAATATACGTTAGTTTTACACTCTGACAAAAAGAATTAATTCAATCTGGATATTTATAATAACTTGTAGTAAAGTTATCCAATAGCTTCACTACAAAATGAGTAAATTTAAATGAAATGACTAAATTGATATTAAAATCTTTTCGTATTTACTAACCACAACATATCCGCGTTTGATACTCCACATTGGCTAAACAACAAATAAATAAGTTGACTGGTGTTCATCCTTGTATACGGATTAGGATACCCAATTACTGCTGTTACCACTGTTACAATTAACACTTCAGTAACAGGATATTGTCCCAGTTTGGAAGTTTTGCGATATCGGCACCAAAATAAATTTGCTTTGATAAATAACGTTGCTATTATTCCCTATAAAACATTTGCTTCTATAAATATACACGTTTCTGATTTGGTAACATATAGTCACAAAGGAAGTTACGTACCCCGATTATACCGAGCATGACGAACGGAATCAACTCGAAGAATATCCAAGGTTTATTATATTCTACGTAGAACAATACTGAATGTTCATTCCCAAACGGATTTATGGAGCGGAGCACAAAAGCAGCTATCAAAGCACAGAAGAATGATCGCCATAAAGTTTTTAATGGAAAATAATAGCTGACCTGAAACAAACACATATAATTTTTATAGCATAACTTTAAACCGTAGGTATTCATATACGTGCAAAAACATACGCACATATGATTCATGACATTTTTCTCATTTTGAAGTATCACATGTAACTAAAAATCACTTTGTACATCTAAGTACATCCCTAGCCTTGAAAAAAAAACATTGTTCCTCTTTGAAACTTATAAGATTACGTCATTAATTTTTCAAATACCTCTTCTAAGCTAAATAGAACACCGCCAATCGGGGCTCCAAAAGCGACGGAAACTCCTGCCGCGGCCGCGGCAGATAAAATCTCTCTCTTCTTTGCTTCATTCCTACCATACTTTGGAAATAGATACGAAAATATATTTCCTATACAGCATGCAATGTGTACCATGGGACCTTCCTTTCCCAAACTTAAACCCGACGATACGGAAAGAATCAGACCGACTGACTTAATAATCAGTGTCCATTTACCGAGATATCCGCGGATGATGAATCCACTTAAAATAGTTTTTATCTAAAAACAAAAAAGAAGTATATGTGGATGTGCAAATGAATGTGCAATTTATTAGATCATATATTTAATTACGCTTTACTGACAGATTACGTTCTTATATTTCCGAAAAAACGTAAAACTCGATAAACTCACTTCAGGTATACCAGAGCCACAAGCGTAGGGAGCAAACATTCGCACTAGAGACGCAGAAAGTGCTGCGAACAGAAGTGCCCATGCTGTATAAAATAAATATGATATCGTGTAAGGCCCTGCACCATCTTTCGACCATCTGAATACTTCGGGCCATGTCAACCACTACGAGAAAGACATAATATCTATTAATTAAATGAAGGAAAATTGTAATTAACACGCAGCTTTCAAAAATAAATTCGAATTGTAATAAATTTGAAAGAGTGAAGTTAGAAAGTGTCGTCCATTTACCTGTGAACAGTTTCCACCGTCAAACGTAGTCTCGTTATAGCTCCAACAACACTGCTCTTTATTTAACCAGAAAGCTTGTGGACAGATACCGAATTTGAGATCTGTCATCCAGGAAGCGCCAATATCTATAACACCAGCCGCCACTCCCGTAAAGAGCCCGACTAGCAAAACGCACAGCCATCCCGACCATGCGTCGTGAGCTCCTTTTATCAAACCCCAAATAGAATCGTGCTTCTTCTTCACGATATAACGATGTCGCATTCGATCCCGCGCGATATCGCGCTGCCAATCGATAGTATGAAAGTCATCATACTGCCCGATGCCAGGAATGTCATCGGAGTCAACTGAAACTTTGAAAATTAGCTCACATTTCGTAACAATAAGATTTTGTTTGATACAACTTTGGAGAATTGTACTTTTTAATATTATTATTGGCTGTGTATATAAAAAAAAGGTTCGATTATATGATAGTGACTTAGAATATTGTGAATATGTTACGGAGATTGACAAATAATTAACAAATAATATTTTTCCTATTAATAAGGTTGTTTTTTCCCCTCTATTGATTTTCAATTTAAGAAAACTCAATCTATATTAAGTACCTAGTCGAGGTGAGATTTTTAATTAGCAAAACAAAACACGTACACGCATTACATTTCACCGTTCTGTTATGAGTGCAACGAAGCAAATTTCAGCATTAACACATATATGAAACCACACAGAAATACTTACCAGTTTTTCACCCTGTGGCGAATTATGGGACACGTGTAAGAAAAGTGAAAGATATCTTTGAAGTACTAAATAAATCTTTGAAAATTATTCCATAATTAAAAATAAATTTTACCTCAATTACATATAATTAGAAACACTCACAGATCGCACATCATATTTTGCCGAAAGTTGCCCCTTAAAGCTTAATAAAACTATGCACACAAAACTATCATATCAGTTTGCACGAAATTTCAAGATAAATAGGTTTAAACTTGATGTATCTGTTTGTCTATTATCGAATCAACTACACTTCTATCTTTTTGTCAATTAGCTAAATTGGCAGTAGACTGGCCATTATTCGTGTTCACTTACACATTTTGCCACTACGACATGCCGCAAGTGCAAATAAATTTGACTCGATTGTTTAACCGGTATCG